GCACGGTACACCTCGGTTTTAATGTAGGTAGCTGCAGCTAATATAATTGTTTTCAGCTCATTCCCCATCATTCGACAGTGTGATCATCTCATAAATCATATGCTGGGTTAACCGACAACGGCGATAAAATGGCCCCCTTTCCCTTCTCCGCTGCACTTCAGCCTTCGATCCAAGCAGCCAGCTCACGCAGAATGCTCATCTCTGGATCATCGGTGGCCCTTTGGGCATTGGCTTTGCCTTTCGCGGAAGCCAAGTCGTTATGGTCTGATTCCCCGGGAGATTACAGTAGCTTCATAAGCACTGCATTTCCTCTAGGAAATGGACGATTGGGAGGTAGTTACTTTGACCAGACTTTGAAAGGTTATTACGGTCGGATGCTAAAATGCTCATTAGCCATGCCTGTGGGCTCCTACGACAATGAGATTGTAAATCTTAATGTCGACTCGTTGTGGCGCGGAGGGCCTTTTGAAAGTCCGGTGCGTGGAACGTGTAAAACCCGCATCAACAGCCTTCGAGGCTAAATAAATACTGACAGCGATATAGACATACTCCGGAGGAAATCCAAACGTTTCCAAGGCAGGTGCACTTCCTGGCATCAGGGAATGGATATTCCAGAATGGGACAGGCAATGTCTCTGCGCTGCTGGGCGAGTATCCGTACTACGGTTCGTATCAGGTGTTGGCAAACTTGACCATCGACATGGGCCAATTGAGTGATGTTGATGGATACCGTCGGAATTTGGACCTGAGTTCGGCTGTTTACTCGGATCATTTCAGCACCGCCGAGACTTACATCGAAAGGTAAGCAGCCTCAACGGTCCCATGGATCGATTGTTGACAGATACCAGGGAAGCATTCTGCTCGTATCCAGATAATGTTTGCGTTTACAAACTCAGCTCGAATTCATCACTGCCTGGTATTACATTTGGCCTCGAGAATCAGCTCACCTCGCCTGCCCCGAATGTCAGCTGCCATGGGAATAGCATCAGCCTATATGGTCAGACATATCCCGTTATCGGGATGATTTACAACGCCAGGGTGACTGTTGTCGTTCCCGGGTCAAGCAATACATCTGATCTCTGCTCCTCATCAACTGTTAAAGTACCAGAGGGAGAAAAGGAGGTGTTCCTTGTATTTGCCGCTGACACCAATTATGATGCCTCCAATGGGAATTCAAAAGCTAGCTTTTCGTTCCAAGGGGAATCCCCGTACACGAAAGTACTCCAAGCTGCTACCAATGCTGCCAAAAAGACTTACTCTGCACTCAAGTCATCTCACATCAAAGATTACCAAGGCGTCTTCAACGAGTTCACACTAACCCTCCCAGATCCCAATGGCTCAGCCGACCGTCCAACTACCGAGCTTCTGTCGTCTTACAGCCAGCCCGGGGATCCCTACGTGGAGAATTTGCTCTTCGACTACGGTCGGTACCTTTTCATATCAAGCTCGCGGCCAGGGTCTCTGCCGCCTAACTTGCAAGGTCTCTGGACAGAATCCTATTCTCCGGCCTGGAGCGGGGACTACCATGCCAACATCAACCTACAGATGAACCACTGGGCCGTTGAGCAAACAGGGTTAGGTGAACTGACTGAGCCACTCTGGACATACATGGCTGAGACATGGATGCCTCGAGGCGCAGAGACAGCAGAGTTGTTGTATGGCACCTCGGAAGGTTGGGTGACGCACGATGAGATGAACACGTTTGGACATACAGCGTGAGTCCATCAGCAGCTCATTAACGGCGTGAAAGTTGCAACACTGACCAAATCAGCATGAAAGATGTCGCGCAGTGGGCTGACTACCCTGCCACAAATGCCTGGATGTCACATCACGTATGGGACCACTTCGACTATTCCCAGGACAGTACCTGGTATCGCGAAAAGGGCTATCCCATTCTCAAAGGAGCAGCGCAGTTCTGGCTCTCTCAGCTTGTGAAAGATGAGTACTTCAAAGACGGCACTCTAGTGGTAAACCCTTGCAACTCACCCGAGCATGGACCGACAGTAAGTGCCCAATGAACCTTTAGCAGACGCCCAGCTAACGCCCCAGACCTTCGGCTGCACCCATTACCAACAACTAATCTGGGAAGTATTCGACCACGTCCTGCAAGGCTGGACCGCGTCCGGCGACGATGATACCTCCTTCAAAAACGCCATCACTTCCAAATTCTCCACCCTAGACCCAGGCATCCACATCGGCTCATGGGGCCAAATCCAAGAATGGAAGCTCGACATTGACGTCAAAAACGACACTCACCGCCACCTCTCCAACCTCTACGGCTGGTACCCAGGCTACATTATCTCCTCCGTGCACGGATCCAACAAAACGATCACCGACGCCGTCGAAACAACCCTTTACTCCCGTGGCACCGGCGTCGAAGACTCCAACACCGGCTGGGCCAAGGTATGGCGTAGTGCTTGCTGGGCACTTCTCAATGTCACAGAGGAAGCGTACTCCGAACTCTCGCTCGCGATTCAAGATAACTTTGCCGAAAACGGATTCGACATGTACTCCGGATCACCGCCGTTCCAAATCGATGCTAACTTCGGGCTTGTTGGGGCGATGGTTCAGATGCTTATTAGGGATTTGGACCGTTCCAATGCGGATGCTCGTGCGGGTAAGACGCAGGCTGTGCTGCTTGGACCGGCAATTCCGGCGGCGTGGGGAGGTGGGAGTGTTGATGGATTGAGATTACGGGGTGGTGGTGTCGTGAGTTTCAGTTGGGATGATAGTGGTGTTGTCGATTCATGCAAGACGGATCTTTCTGCGAGGGGGAGCGATGCTTCTCGCGTGGAGTTCTATGTTGCGGGTGGTAAGGCGATTGATTGTTCGTCATCGTGAGACTTTCTGCTTTATACTGCCAGGGTGATCGTAGCTGGCCACTGGTCCAGCTGGTGTCAACCATGAATACTCTGCTATATAGTATGATTTATGAGGACCCCTCTTTCTCTAATCAAACCATAACCACCTGAGGAGCACCTAGGAACAACATCCAGCCGCTCAGCCACGTGTAGATTGCTTCCACTTGTATCTTGATCAAGTACGGGACATGGCACAATAGCCATAGCAGGAAACTTGGACCACTCTTCAAAAGACAAGTAAGGATCACCACCATGGACTAGCATCTTCGCGCCAACCCGGCTTGTAGGTTATCCCCACTTCATCAGCAGTGCAGGGGTAGTGAGCCTACTGCAGAGGTGAACCAATAAGTTGTATTCGCCAGTTACCAGTGCCAGGTATCCTGCAGGATAAGCTGCTGCAGCATGAGGAGGAGTTGGGGGATTCTCTCAACGCGAAGTCTGGCTAAATTCGCTGACAGGGATGATCACTTCGGTAGGATCATGACTGAGAGGGGGGAGGGGAATGATTTCTTTTTCTAAGATGCCCAAGTTAGCGTGAAAGACATACAATAATATATCCAAAGACAGGAAAAAGCAATACATCACTCCACTTCATATCCATACTACTATCTGACATGCCGTACGGGCCCGTCGGATCTGCAGCGCTTTAAGCGCTGAGCTTAGTCTTGCTAGCCTGTCAAGGTTTAGTAATATACCGTAGTATGATCTAGATGCAGGCATAAGCAGGGCAGGGCATGGCATGGATGATCTACCGGAGTATCTCCTCGGGCAAAAGAGATACCCCACACCGTCCCCTACTACATAAATTAACTCGCTAACAGATGACCATGACAAGTTATATTAAACCCATTCATTCAAACGGTAGCTGTGCTTATCCTCACAATAATCCCGTTATCTCACTCTACGTGACATCGTGAAACAAAACCATTATGGATGTCGCAGGAAAACTGATCCCCGAGACCGATATGCTGGATGACCACACACGCAAGCGCATCCGCGCGATTTGGGAAATGGCTCGTCTCCATACCCACGAGACCTGGCTGTCTGTCTTCCCAGCTGTGTGGGGAGCCAGTATTGGTGCGAAGTCAGACAGGACGGATGGATGGTCACTTGCCTGGGTTCTGTTCGGCATCTGGGCAAGTGCAACGGTCTCTCATGCCGCGTTTTGTACTTGGAAGTGAGCAGATCCCCCTTCAGTATCTGCTATACAAGCAGCTGTTAAATGACATGAGCAGTGATATCTGTGATGTCGAATACGACAGACAAGTCGAGCGATGCAAAAGCAGACCACTCCCGTCTGGACTCATCTCTGTCAAACAAGCTACTTTCTTCTTCCTTTGCTGGATGCTTCTCACCCTAGGGACTACGTGGTATACACTAGGACCACAAGCAACTCTGTGCACTACACCGGCGTGGCTACTGGGCTTGGTCTATCCCTTTATGAAGCGAGTTATGCCCTTCCCTCAGCTTGTGGTGGGCCTCTCTGTTGCCAGTGGTGTGCTGCCAGGGTATGTCTCTGTGAATGGAGATATCGAATTCAATGGGCCAGTTCTGGCTCTGTTCGGTGCAACTGTCTGCTGGATTATCTTCCTCGACACTGCCTACGCTGTTCAGGATATGGTCGATGATGCAAAATGCGGAGTCCAGTCGCTGGCGGTGTTCCTGGGTCAGCGTGTTCGATTATTTCTTGCCCTCGCTGCTATTATTTCTATCGCATTTTTCGTGGCGGCAGCTTTCCTGTGTAATCGCTCTCTTTTTTACTGGATCTTTGGTATTGGGGTATGGGTGGTAAGTACGATACGGAGCATATCTCTCTTGGATCTTAGTGACTGCGCATCTGGGGGACGTGTGTTTAAGTTTAACATCAAAGCTGGCTTTTACCTTATGGTAGTTACACTTGTGGAAGGTTATCTTCAAGCATGGTTTTCCTGAGAAGGCACAGCTCAACTCCCTTATTTTTGTCTTTTAACTCGGAGGGGACATAAATACATTACAATTTCATATTCGCTCCTTAATCATATTAAATGTGGGTAAACTGGTTGAACCCAGGAGTTAGAATGTGGGTGAGGACGGTATAATACCTACTGTGATACTGAAGAGCACCATCAGACTATAGTCACGGTTCTCAGTGCATCAAATATTAGACGGGCACAAGTCCTTCCCGCCTCATAGCGTCTCTAGCATGTTCTCTTAGAATATCGATACTCCATTCCCAGGCGTCGTTGGCGTTTCGACCAGCAGGCACAACACCACCGGGGTACAGATCGCTTCTGAACAAGGTGAGATGCTGGGGAGGTGTTCCTGAAGGTGGTGCAGGAAATAGAGTCTATTCTATTTAGTATCATTGGGCCATCACAGCCTATGGTCCACGGAAGTACTTACAATGCGCAAAGGTACACCAACTCCCCGTCGATGTAATTCAACCCAGCCAGCTATGCGGTTCCTTATCCGCTTGTACCATTTCAGAAGAATCACGACGTTTACATGCGGGGCTCCCCCCTGTAGCCACAGATCTTTGTGGTCATAAAGCTTCCTTACACTCTCAGAATATCCAGACTCCGTAACGATACTGGGTAGCGGGGATCCGGACGCTGGGTTGATGATAAATGCGTCTGGCTCCTTGTAGCTTGCAGTATAAGGAGGGAGAAAGTTGTCGAATCCTATAAACGTTATGTTTGTGAGTATCGTATGTACATCGCAGCAGTATAGTGTCCACTCACTGTCGGTTCCACAAAGACGGACATGTCTGGCTTCACCAGGTGCGAAGAAACCCTGCATAAACGCGTCTTTATGTTGTTCTGTAGCCCAACTAAGGCAGCAGTTGTGTAAACCATTAGGCATATTCACCGAGAATGTCTGAGTGATAGAGTTGTAGCCCATAATCACACTCTTGCGTTCTACATCGCCGTCCTCCGAAAGGCTCCGGGCGACAAGATGACCGGTGGCGGGGGGTATTCCTTCCATTTCAAGATAATCCGGCCCATTAGCCTGCAGTATTCGGTCTTTTAGGTAATAGAAGAGCTGCTGTGGTGTCCTGGTTGCCTGAGGCATGTTGCTGTGGCTTCGTAGTGCTCGTGTGGTCTCTGAGGTGGTAGGAGCCATGTTCCTAGGGGACAGAGTAGGAAGAACTGGGAAATGAGGATGGTAAGAGCTGTGTGGGTGAGAGAGGGGGGATTTGTGCAATATATAGACAGGAGAAGGATTCAGTGGTGGATAAGATTATTGATGAAGTAATTATGAGTGAAGCCGTGGAAGTCCCATTACCTAATCTGGTATTGTGATATTATACTTCTATACTATATCCAGAGGATGGACACTACGGGCGCTCTTAGTGCTAGTTATGCGTGTCGAATATCGTTTGTAAAGCAAATTTAGATAAAATAGACATGAGATAGGAATGATCTGTAGCGTTCGAGTAATCGGACGAGAGCCTCCTCGTGTCGCCTTATCCATGCACCGCTGCAGGTCAAAATTCCAAGCTGCTAAGCTGGAACAAGTCCCTCAATGGCCATTCTCTGCCTTGCAATGTCTCTCAGGCGGTTCAAGTTCCATAGCCAGATATCGTTTCTATTCCTTCTAGGTGGTACTTCGCCTCCCGAATAAAAGTCGCTTCTGTACAAGGCGATGCTCTCGCTCTCCCAAGGCGTTCCAGGAGCAGGAGCTGGGAAGATGTCCTATAGAGTCAATTAGGTGTATTCACTCATCGGATAGACAGCGAATGAGATATGTGACTTATGATCACTTAGAATGAAAGCAGAATCAATGACACTTACCTTCCGTATAGCGGCACCATTATCCCCGCGGCGATGCAATTCGATCCACCCAGATACGCGGTTACTATCCACCTCTTTATCCCACTTTATCAGGATAACGACATTGACATGCGGTGCTCCGCCCAGCATCCAAAGATCTTTATCACATTGCAGCTTGGTATTGCTTTCATTGTAGTATCCGCATTCAATAACCACTGTAGGTAGCAATGTGTTAGGGTGGATAATGTGGAAATCGGGTTCTTTATAGCTGCCAGCGGCCCACGGCGCGGGAAAGCTGAAGAATCCTGCATACATGTAGAACTATTAGTGATATCCAGGTTATAATATAAGAATGGATGTGATAATTGGATTTCCTACCGTCATTCCCACCCATCATCAGATATCTGAACTCGTTCCTGGTGAAGTATCCTTGGCTAAGGCTGTCAATCATTTCGGTTACTCCCCAAAGAAACGCGCTGCCGTGGGTCATGCTTGACATGGTCACCGAGAGCACCCTGTCTAGTGTATTGTAGCTCAAGGTTGGGTTTGCTTGTTCCACATTGCCATCCCTGGAGAAGCTTCGTACCACGAAGGACCCAGCTTCAAGCGAGACCTGTTGGTATTCGAAATACTCGGGCCCCTCAGCTTCGACTATACGGCGTCTAACCAGCTGCAAAAGCTGCTGGGGAGTGGTGGGCGATGCTTGGAGCTCAGATACGTTGCCCTGAGTTTGAGTGACTCTGATACTGAGCTCGAAGGTTCTTTGGCTTGAAGGGGGCATCCTGATGATGGCGATAGAGACCTTTGTTCTCTGTAAGGATGAGAATGAGGATCGAAGTATAGCAGATACCGGTCCTTACTGAGAGAAGGGATAGAGTCCGTGATGATAAGAGTGTTATTGTATGGATGGACAGGTCCACAGGTAGATGAAGAGGAGAGAGTTTGTCCGGTTATGTTAACTATTTAAGGGAAAGAGTGCTGAAGATGTGCCATAAATAGGCACTAGCAGAAGGATACCGCTTTCGCAGTCCATATCGTTGCGAAACGCCCTAACCCAGTAGTCCACATTGATACCATAACATCGCACTAGCATCTTCCATAGAACAATCTTAGGTTCCTCATGTAAGAGAGCGTGGGGTGAGTGAGCGTTTAGAGTGCGTTGCTCGAAGCAAGGAGGAAATATCCTCCGCCTTGCATTGCATTCCACCTCCCGCACGTGGCGCATCTCCCATTAGAGCCGCGCTCCGGCAGACTTGCGTTTGACAACTACCTCGTACTCTCTGTGAACCTTGCAATGACACAAAAGTACTTTTCAACAATCAGGAGTGGTCTATCACTCATCAAATATAACAAGCTCATTTCATCAAAAGCAAATGTCTTTAATTGCAAGCATGCAATACGCTCTCGAGCATTTGCTTCTAAGCCCGAGGAGCTCCTTGAAGAAGAGAAGCTCCCATTCTACAAACCAGACCAATTTTATCCCGTACATATTGGCGAACTTTTAAAGTCAAGATACAGAGTATTAGGAAAGCTTGGCTATGGCTCATACTCGACTGTGTGGCTATGCCATGAGAAAAGGTACGCCCACTCAGTCTACACAATGTCCTCTAGTATTGACCTACCTCTGTAAAGTGAACAGAGATATGTGGCTGTCAAAGTCCTAACCAAGAACGATTCATCGAAAACATTATCGGGGGAACTGAGAATATACGACCACCTCAGCAAGGTGAAGTCTTTCCATATAGGAGGTTCCTATATCCGTGGCTTATATGACGCCTTCGACATCACAACCCCAGACGGCACATATCCATGTTTAGTGCACCCACCAATGCACATGTCTCTACATGATCTACGAATGCTTTCCAGCTCCCGAAGACTGAGCGAACTTTTACTCAAAGAAACCCTAAAATGTATCCTTCAAGCACTTGACTTTCTACACACGGAAGCGAACGTTGTTCATACCGGTACATTTCCCTGTTCTCAACCAACTGACAAAATCATCAACAATAACACAAAATTATACAGATATAAAACCCTCAAACATCATGCTCAGCATAGACGATCCCTCGATTCTCACAGACTTAAAAATATCCGAACAACAAGCCCCAACCCCCAAGAAAACCATAGACAGCACCCGTTCAATTTACACATCTCGAAAGTTACGCCTACCCAAAGACATGCTCTGGGGCCAGCCCGTACTCTGCGATCTCGGCCAGGCGAGAATCGGACCATCTCATCGGGGAATCATCCAACCAAACATCTACAAGGCACCCGAGGTGCTCTTCGATATGGAATGGGGGTTTAGTGTCGATATATGGAATCTTGGCGTCATGGTAAGCACGTCACTACTTACATCTATATCCACAAAACTTCATGGCTCAATTATTACCGCAGATATGGGATGTATTTGAGAACAAGCATCTGTTTGATGCCCTCGATGAAGACGGGGATTACTCGCCATCGCACCATGTTGCTGAGATGGTGGGGTTTCTTGGTCTGCCACCGTTGTCGTTTATCGATCGAAGTCGGGAGACTCGGAATGTGTTTACGGATGATGGTTAGTCTCTCCTAGTATTCCCCCTCCTCCTCTCACCCTTATCCGTCCTCTCTTCGGTATGATTATATAAGTCAATAATTCATAGGCAAATGGCTAGGCGCAGGGGGAGTCACCATCCCTGCAACCTCACTCGAGGAGATCGAAGAGAATCTTAGCGGAAAGAACCAGGAACTGTTCCTCCAGTTCATCCGATCAATGCTGCAATGGGAGCCTGAGAGGAGGAAGACGGCGAGGGAGTTACTGGATGATCCGTGGTTGAATTCAAGTTCAAAATTCATAGTGGCTGGTTGATTGTTCTACTGTATTTCTATGGATGTACCGCCTGATAATGTTCTCATACATAGATATCAGCATTAGTGATAATAATGATGATGAAGCAGGCCAGCAGGACAGATAAATACGGAGTCTCACGGTGATCGCTACTATAACCCTCATAGGGGCGGCTGCTGCTGCTGCTGCTACTGCACCCGTGGTGGGTGATAAGTTAATCAGATAATACATAAATGGTGTAGACTGGGTCAATTTTTACTTAGCTATAGCAAAGAATTATGCTACTTAGGTAATAATTCTACTATGCATTGTGTCTGTGATAGTACCCCCTCTGTACGCATTTACCCATTTAGCCGATTTGGCATGCCAATTGATCCACAATTGTTATCTGCCATTGATCTATCCATGTAAACGTAGCTTCTAATTCTAGATCTATCATGTGTTCATGATTATCCCCCGGTCGGAGCATCCCCGAGTCTGTCATTCCGAAACGGGTATATAAACTCCTCCTCCTCCTCTGCTTCCCCGCGGATGCCGATGCGGGGTAGGTCAAGTATACCATCCATCACGTAACTGGAAATCAACTTGAACTGAACCAATAGTTCATTGAAAACAACCCAAAATATCAACAATATCAAGAATATCAGGTTCATATCAACAAATCATAATAGCATAATGTCGTCATCGTCATCATCATTTTCAGACAAAGTCTACACCATAACCGGCCTCTCAGGCATCGGCCTGGCCGTGGCACGCCAACTGCACGCCCAAGGAGCTCGTCTCTCCCTAGCAGATATATCCGACTCGGCGCTGCAGCACGCACGGGCCCAGCTCCCTAACGCCAATGACGAGAACGTTCTCACCCGAGTCGTTGATGTTGGATCTCGCTCGTCGGTGGAAGAGTGGATCGATGCCACTGTCCGCCATTTTGGTCGGCTCGATGGCGCAGCAAATATGGCGGGCATGATTGGGAGTAAGCATGGGACGGGCTCGTTGTTGGAGCAGGATGATGCGGAGTGGGATATGTTGTTGAGGGTGAATTTGTCGGGGGTGATGTATTGCATGCGGGCCCAGATAAGATCGATTCAGGAGACGAGTAAGACGGGGAGTATTGTCAATGCGGCGAGTATTCAGGGTCTGAGGGGCTTTGCGTTGCATGCTGCGTATTCGGCCACTAAGCATGGGGTTGTTGGGTTGACCAGGAGTGTGGCTAAGGAGGTGGGGCCGGATATTAGGGTTAATTGTGTTGCGCCGTGAGTGTTGCTCCCTTTTATTATTCTTTCATTTCGCTTGTTCGCTTCCCTGGTTTGGGGGCTTGTTGGGGGTGGCGCTGACGGTGGTTGTGTAGTGGGTCGATTCAGACACCGTTGTTGGATAGGGCCACGGCCATCCAGGGAGGATTCACTCCCACTCCAACGGTGATGCCGCGAGTGGGGACGCCTGATGAAGTTGCTCATTCTGTGCTGTTTTTGCTCAGTGATGCCTCGTCGTATACCACGGGCACGGCCCTGAATGTGGATGGTGGATGGGACCCGTGATCCTGCTGGATGTCTGTGGCATGGATGAATCGTGTCTGTGCAGTTAGTTGCTCCATGAGGCATTCGAACCAACATGTTGGTTTCAGATATACCAATCGAGCAATGCGTTGGCCCCATGTTGGTTCCTGCAGGATCGGACCCTGAGATTTGGCCCCATTTTGACCAAGAACAGGCAGTGCGAGACGACTTGGCGGACATCGGTGGACGCTAGAAGAGGCGTAGATTCAACTGTAGAGCCAAAGGAATGCACCAATGACTAGCGCAACGAAAAGAACAATGAGTTTGTTGCCAGTATAGTGGGTAGGGAGCAGAATCAAGATTAGACAGCACATACACAGAAGCGCTAGTGAATTGAGCGAGTGGTTCGGTTGTATAGCCCGACCACTGCTTTCGGTTGATGTAGCGTTTATGCTAGATTTACTGAATATCCACCTTTAGTGCCTGAGCGTTATTTGCTGTTGGCATTAACATACCCCTCGACAGCCACTGGCCATCCATTTACATAGTGCAGATAGTTCCATCCCAAATGAGCGTCCTGTATTGCGTTAGTGTAATCTTGTCAATGGGTTGTTGGGATTTGACTCACGCCCTGTGCGAAACCAGATGTAGTGTTGACTGCAAGTTCTGTTAGCTAATTCCTCAACTATTGTGGACCGCAAACGTACGATAATGGTAATACAAGACATCCGCGTCGCTGCCGTTGTTGATCAACACGCCCACACCACCGGGGGCATAGACAACTCCATGGTTGGATCCGTAGACGATGGTACCGCCTCCCTTGAGGGTATCATGGCCCTCCTTGTCCACGAAAGGACCTGTCGCGCTCTTAGATCTGCCGACTCGGATGCTGTACCTGTTGTGATTGTTAGCTATCAATTTTTCCATAGAAGATTGTGTGCACATACTCGTCTCCCATGGGCGGAAAAGCGTGAATATCAAAGTGGCAGCACTTGCCGTGGCTGAACCACAGATAGTAGTAAGGCTCCTTGTAAGTCATGAAAGAGCCCTCGATAGGCTTCGACTTGGCGTCTGGGATGTAGGCCAGGTTGGTCGCGTTCGGGGTCTTCGGGGTTTTGACGGAGAGGAGATCATCAGCCAATGGCACCGAGAAGATGCCATGCCAGTAGCTCCCGTAAAGCAGGTGAGACTGTCCAGTCTCTTGATCGGTGATAAATGCGCCGTCAATCGCATTGGAGACCGAATAGGGATAGATGTCCGACAGGTCTCCCTTGCCGGTGTTGACAACAGCGCCATGATCCGTCCAGTTTCCACCGGTGGGAGTGTCCGAAGAGGCGACTCCAATGGCGCTGTCGCGACTGCCGTTCTCGCTAATCGCGTAGAAGCAGTAGAAACGGTTGTCGTGCTGAATGGTCGTGGGGGCCCAAGGACGAGAGCGGTTTTGCTTCTGGATCACGC